TATATATATATAATTTATAAATTATGATTTACTTTTTATTTTATATCTTATTTTAATAATTTACAAAGAAAATGATAATCGGAATTTTTATTAATTTTCTATTTCATTAGTCAATTTAGAAAAGGAAAAAGGAAAAAAAAACATTTTAATGAATATTATTACAATAGTTCAACAAGAATAAAAATGAAAGACAAATGAAACACACCCTTAATTTTTATTGGACCAACATAAAGGAGTATTTATATATAATGGTTCAGAAAATATAGAGCAAAACATCACCAAATATGTAATCTGTGCGGAAATGTTCCAATTCAATTGCGTTAACTATAATAGTTTTCTAAAAACAAAGTGAAAATTAACAAAAATTTAGGAACTAAAACTAATAAAAACTCCATTAAAAAATAAAGATGAAAATTGATAAAAAATAAAATAAAATTTAAAGACTAATAACATATTTAATTTAGAAACAAAACTATTCAAGATACATGTCATGCTACCTACAAAGATAAGAAGTATTTATGAAGATGATTAGTTAGCTCCATGAAATACATGTTCTCTACAAGAAAAGAAGGGGGGCTAGATTAACTCATTGAAAGAACAAAGATACTTACACCCGAAATCATTAATGGTGTATTGAAGGATGAAAACATTAGCATGTTATTAGAGTCCAAAAAAAAACATATCACGAGGAAGGTGGGGTGAGAAAAATGAAGGTAGAGAGACCCACAAAAAGGAGCTACGTGGACTCTATAAGACACTGTTTGGTGATGAGAATATTGCTGGAAATTGGAAAAATACTCACCCACCTATAATTCAAAGAAGGCACACTTACATTGGTTTTATTTATGGGCCTTCATTCATAATATGTGGGCCTTTTTCATATGAAAAGTGGGTATGCTTTCATTCTCAACCTCATATCCATATCAATTCTCAACCTTCCATCCTCATCATTCATTCTAAATTATTAATTTAGATGGGATTCAATATAGAAATCAATATATAATAATATAAACTACCGACAAGCATGCCCATTAGAAATGAATTTATATTATTTTTTTAGTTTGAAGCTTTGTAGGAATTTATCTACTGGGAATTATATGAGTTAATTTGTTCTTACTTTTTTTAATTTGTGGGAAAGATCATACATTCCTACCAGACCTTACAAGTAAAAAGAGGGCTGGAAGAAGATGAGAAAATGATATAGGAATGGATGAAATATATCAAACTTGTACACTCACAATTGTAATTCTGCATCTCAAAATGGGTTTTTTTCTTCTTCATATAAAGTTGATAATCAGGAAGTAATTTATATATATACATAATTCATGCAATGCCAAAAGAATTGTAACCTTCGGTTTATTTTTTTTTTAATATCATATTTAATTTTCGAAGCTGGAAAAACTAATTTACCACACGATGAGTGAAATCGGTATCGATTGTCTGAATTAAAAATGGGCATTTAATTTGAGTCGGTCAAACTCACATTCTTAAAGGGTAAGTAGATAAGATATGGTTAGAAATAATAAAATAATTTTTTTTTAAAACAACATGACAAGATCAGAACTTTCTGAAAAAGAAACCAATGAAATGAGAAATTTAAGGTTTAAATGTCTACATGATTTTATTAAAAGATATTACTTTTAGTTTATATAATTAAAAATATTTTATTTTAATTTCTCTATGTATTATTTTAATTTCCTTTTTTAATTAGTTATTGTTGTTTATTTACTATAGGGACTAAAATGTAATTCT